GATCAGACACATTACCTCCCAGGTTAATAATGAATATTCAGATCTTATGCCAATTCTTATTAACTATATTAAATTTATTTTAAAAAGAAAAGACAGCGAGTATTTGATAAAAGATCAGTATATATATAGACATGAGTATGATCTGAAATCAGATTCATAGAAGAGATAGAAGTGAGCTCTGTAGTTGCAAAGAGTTCTTTCAGAAATAATTCATGGTTATAGTCCAAATTCCATATTTAGAGTGAATCCAGTTGAGGTCTGGAAATGCCAGACTTATGGCTAAGCTTCCCTTGCATGAAGCATCAAGCAGATCTAAGATAAAAGGAATCAGGATACAATTCCAGATCTGCTTTGAGTCCTCCGGCAAACAAAAGGCAATAATGGAGATTTGAAATGGACCTTTTTATTAAGCATCAACGGTAATTAACTATACAGATTAACATACAACAATCGCCCCTTTTTCAACAATCTTGGGTGACTTGGTAGATATTTCAAAGAGAGGAATACAGTGATAATACTATGTTTATAGTTCATTAATTATTAATTATTATTATTGTTAATATTTCCTTTTGTAACAAGGTGGACACATACAGACACGCCATGGCACCTCCCTCTGGACATCTTGGGAATTAGCTCGGTCCTACTGTGGGGCCACCTCCTCTTGAGGTGTCTTACCAATGTCACTTCTCTTCTGGGCCTGCATCTCTCCCTGGACCACGCCATTCTCCCTCTGGACAGTGCCCCTCTGGCTGTGCTCGCTCCATTGTCTCTCCCTTTCAGAGCAATAGTAATCTACTCTCCTATCACTTGCTTCAGTGGTCCACTGCAGTCCTCAGTCTAGCCTCTTCCTCCAGAGGAAAAATGCTGTCTCACTTGGCCACTCTCATCATTGTGGTAAGAATGGGGGGAGGAAGCTCAGGCCCACCCACTACTCTGGTCCCCAAACCAGGGACCCTCTACTAGCAGCCTCCTTCTGCCCTCTTCTGACTTTCCCCTGCTTCCTGCTTGCCTGGGCCACTTCCCTATCATATCCCATAGCATCTGCCTTGGCTGTGCCTCAAGGCCCTTGTCTAGAAGTCCCCTAACTGCCAGCCCTGCTCTCTTCATGGTGCTAATGGTTCCTTCCTCTACTGGGACACAGGTCCTCCTCCGTGGAATCTCGAGAGAACTGAACTCCTCCATCCCTCTTCTCCTTTTGTACAGGGCTTGCTTGTCTATGATTGGCTGTTCTTCAGTCCACCTTCTTATTACCTGTCTTCCAATCTGCCCTCCTATTGCAGTGAAGCCTCCCTACGGCTGCCTTTCACTCTTCAAGAGATCAAAAGTGACAGATAGGAACTGTCTCTTTACACAACTAACATTTAACAAGATAGAAGTACTAGGGATGTAAAACCTGTTTAATTGGCTATCTGGTTAAACATATTATTTAACTGGTTAACCAATTAAGGATGAGCAGAGGTGCCGCCACTGGGCTGAAATGCCCCCACCTCCCACTGCAGGCAAGGGCTGCCTCTACCCAGCCAGAGCAGCCCCTACCTGAGGCCCTGGTTCACTGTGAACAGGGTGCCTGGTAGGCAGAGGCCACTCCAGCATTCCAGTGGGAGCAGCCCAGGCACTGTGGTGCCCTGCAAGCAGAAGCTTCTCCGGCATCTCGGCAGCAACAGCCCCTATCTCCAGGTCACTCAGGCCCGCAGCAGGCAGTGGCTATGCTGGAGTGGTTCCCATCTGCTCTGGGCCCCCCACAGGGCAGGAGCAGGCAGGGAGCTGCTCCAGCCCACAGGTTAACCTTAACCCGTAAGCCTTACCAGTTAAACCTTCACACCCCTAAGAAGTACACGCACAATTAGTATCACTCTAAATCTCTAAAAATACACATTTGCATTGCAAAGGTCTAGATTATCTACTATGGAATGGCCCTAATTATCATTTACATACTTTTCTAACATGTCTCCACAGGTGGATTCTGGGCCATTAGGATGAGAGAATGCTTAGTGCTTTCTGGCCATGTGTCACTCTTTGCATACTATTATTACCATTATGTAACAGTGGCAGCAACAATGATTTGCATGGTCATATTCTAATTAGATAATGGCATACTGGCACAGCAGAAATAGAGGGCCATCACAGAGTCCCTGGATTTCAGGGCAGAGATGTACCTGTGTACGTTAAAGCAAACTATTGCTAAACCTACTCCTGCTGGCGACAATCCAAAAGTGACTTTATATAAGATGGGCAACAGCCCCCCACACAAGCGCTGGGAGGTGCAGTGGCGCAGAAGCTGTGTTCTGATTTGTTGGCTTTGTACCAGCGCTTTCACACAACAGGACTTCTGTAGACAGCTCCTATTCTGCAAAGGACTATAACTCAAAAAATGAATATGGTCCTATAACTTAGTTTAGAATAAAATACAAAATAGTTCAGCAAAGTAATTAAAAAAGTATCCTCACAAGCGAGGTCAATGTGATCTCCGAGTAAGGTAACGACTAATTTAAGAATTGAATATCAATAATGATCTGTAGATTGCTCCTTTTTCAATGTCCACAAATATCATTATTTTCCTTTATTACTCATATACCATATTAAAAGTAAACAGAGTGTAGTAGCAAAGGCAATATATATGTAGCAGCTGCAGTACTAAGATAGTTTTATCTTCCTTACAGGTTTGAATAAACTTATCTAAAAATGCCAATCTCAAATTAAATCTCAGACACTGATCTCAAGCAATCTGATCTGAAAGTTCAGAATGAACAGTAAAAAGGAGAAACCATCACAGAATGTTGATGGCTAGTACTGTAGTTCAATTAACAGACCGTACTCACTGGCACTTAGGAATAGATGTATAATAGAACCTAACTGAAAGAAATACTACATCTTCAGTATATAACCAGTGAGAGTTACAGTGGTTATATCAACCTGTACGCCACACAATTGTGTGTTTTCAGTTAGACAGTCAGAAAATAACTGGAATTAATAGGCAAATTCAGGAATTTGTTGCATACCTTCCCACTCCCAGTTGTACAATGCATATGCTGTAGAGAGGATAGCAATGTGTCTCCGAAATCTTTCTCTTGTGTTTCAGAGTGCTCTTGGTGTACTAAGTAGGTCATGACACATGACACTGGAAAATATTGCTCCTCCCTAGAGGAGGTATATGGAAGGACTGCATCCTCACTGTCCGTGACTATCTTCACCTGAGTCACACACTGTTTTGGGAATGCTGATCAGTACTGAATAAATATCTAGAGGGGAATGTTGTTATTAAAGCACAGCCTGCAAATCTGTATCCCAGTCATTGTGGAACTGTTTTCTACTTCTGCCTCTTATATACACTAGGCAAATGGCTCCTCCGTTCTTTGTTGTTGACCTCTACAACACAGCAGGTAGTTGTGAGAGAGCAATAGTAGTTGCCAAGAAGTACCCAGTGACTTCCTATCACAGGCTCAGATTTCTTTCCTCATCATTCATGACTAATGGCCATAGTGATTCGTAGGACAGACGGGAACATTTCGTAAGCTATATGAGTTTTCTATGCATCCACAGATTTTTTTTAAGCTCTGTATTTAAAAGCAGCTTTTGGATTCCTGCAGAGGAACGCATGTGAGGCAGCTTCCAGAGAATCACAGACAAAAAGAGGACTCACTACCTGCCACTGTCTATCTCCTGATTAGAGAGGTTCAATCTGTAGACCAGGGGTCGGCAACCTATGGCATGCATGCCATTAAGTGGCACGCGTGCCAATTGAGAGTGGCACACGGTGGGAGCTCAGCTTCCCCCTCACACATGCGTGTGTTTGGTGGCGGTGGTCCCAGCAACGCCTGATAGGCTGGGGGCTGATGCTACCAGACAGGAGCATCCCTGCCTGAGGCACACCAGGCCTCATAGAGCTGGAACAGCCCACTGACCATAACTAGTAAGCGTCACCCCTATAAGGGTGATGTTAACCATTCACATCCCTATTTTGAATAGGAGTTTAATAGTTGGGATTTGTTGTTTTATATTGATTTTTGAGTGTTTGTGCTAGGTTGATTTTTGTTCTTAAACCACCCAACTGGTGGCCTTTTTTTGAGCTTTCAAAAGATTTTAAGTAAGAAGTATTTTTTTTGTATTTTACAGAAATACCTATAATTGTTTTTAAGTTTTTATTTTAATGATAATTGTATTGTTTTATTTGCTTTACTATTGACAAAGGGATTTAGGGTGTTTATTTTGGGTTTCTCTTTTTATTTTTACTTATTTTATGTTCAATATTAATCACTTAATGTAAAAAGAAAGTGAAACTGTGAAAGCACCACAGGAAAAGCCAGAAGGGAGCCCAAGGTAGGAGAGCAAGAGAGTGGTGCAGCCCAGGGCACGAGGGTTAAATTTTGGCACGCCACTTCAGAAAGTTTGCCGACACCTGCTGTAGATGAGTATTGCTAATTGTTAAAATCATTACTTTTTCTTGTGATTATATTTCAGTTCTATTAATTCTAGCCACATTAGGTTACATTTGTTTTTCTGCCATAATAGCAGATCCCAAGGAAAATAATGGATTTAAGATCTTTATTTTTTTGTGGGAAATATATCTGTAATATATATTAATAATCTGATGTTTCTAACTAAGGTCAATAAATGTTAATTTGTCTTGGTTTTATTTCTTGACCACATGAGGACAAAATTTTCATATGTGATTTGTAGCATACCTTCTACAACTACTCTGAAGATTACTTTTTATGTGTAAATGTATATATCATTTACAGTTCTTAAGCTCATTTATGTAACAATGTTTATGGAGATCAAATCCATAAAATTGCTTATTTTCTTTAATTAAAAAATTATTTTAAGTGCAAAGTGTCCCTAATCCCTTTTTCACTTACCCCACATAACTGTGTTGACTTTAGTGGAGTTACTCCTAAATGACACTAGTATAAATTAAAAATCACCATCTTTAAGACTGCTCTATAATATATTAGTAAGATCGATATTCCACAGTCACATATAAAAAATTAAAATCAACTTACTGCGAGACAGATTCTCAAGGGCTTTCCCCAGCTTCTTACTCTCCTGAAGAATATGATTTAACTCATCAAACTCATGGCTCTCTGGTTTTGTCTGCCAGTCCCATTTAGGATGTTCTATTGACCTTGGCACTAAGTAAAATTATATATAAAGATTAGATTTCATAATTCATAAAGCTACAGTAGCAAAAAATTGTGCAATGAATCTATAAGATCAAGAATGTTCATAATGTCAGAGTCAGTTTTCCCCTTCTTATTACACTAATGGAATATATTTTTATTTCTGTTAGCAAAATAGTTTCAAGGAGGGGAGGAGAGAGGAAGAGTCCCCAGGTAGGATTTCCAAATGACCTTTGTGACTGAATCAACATGCAACAGGAACAACTAACACTAAATTCGAAGAGAGAAAAAGCAACATAAAGTATTGTTCTCAAATGAAATCAACTCTATGGCAAATGAAATGTCTGCCTAAAAAGGTAATACAACAAAATGGACATAAAGAACTCCTAATTCTGTTTTTAGTATTAGTTTTACCACAAAACAAAACACATTTTATTTTTATTTATATAAATACTCTTGCCAGTGTCTCAGTTCAGTTAATGCAAAAACATATTAGCTCCCTTATGGCTTCTTGGGAAGCATACTCCTTTGTTGAGTCTGCATTATTACACCTCTGAGATTTTATCTCAAGAGAGCATTAGCTTAACTCTAAAGATGACCTCAACTGCTATGGTAGAGCATAGAAAGCTCTCTCCTGTCAAACACTGAGTAAAGTGGACTGATGCATTCTGCACTAAGCTGCAACTCCTCTCAAGTTATCTTCAGCCATAGCATTATGTAATACAGCGCACACATTGCAGTAACACTATATGGAACGTACAAAATTTCAGGCAATGCTAGTAATACTTCCATCAGAAAGAAACAGGCAATGTCACTGCCCCAAATTCAAATGAAAATAACTTACAAGAAAACAAGAACACGAATTCACCTCATTTAAACAGCTGTGAAATGTTCCTTGATGATTTCACTAAGTCTCAACTCACTTTATTCACAAACTATTTCAGATATGTGAAAAAAATCTGAAGATTTCTATATTATGTGCAGTATAAACTAGTACTTGAAGTTATATGGGATTATAGGTTGCCTGGTTAAAGACAGTTATCCAAACTGGTGAATAAAGAGAGAGCGCTAATTCCTTTCTCTCTATGAGCATATACATCAGTAATGGGCACCCTACAGCCTGAGGGTCACATGTGGCCCATTGGGGTTCTGCAAGCAGCCCATAACACATTTTGTTTACCACTGCCCATGATCAGGGTTGCCAGATTCTTCTAGTTTCCTTCCACATAGATTTTTCTTACCAGTATTACTAAGATGACATGCACCTATAGCAAAGGCATGTGCAGTGAGGTGCATACTGTTTGCACACAACATTGACTATGAGAGCCATGTGCTCCCTCTGCATCCAATCAAAGCACTGCTATGCAAATTCCAATCAAATCCAATCAAAGTAAGCCCCCCCAAAAAATTCCAGGTACCCAAGCACAGTTAGCAAAACTGAGACTGTCTTGGTTAATGACAATCTCACTAGCCTACATTGTCCATCACTGATGTAGCTCTTTAGTTCAAATAGGAATCATATGAACAATGAGAGAGAGACCTCTTTATATTTATTTTGCTGCGTTAGTCATCCTTTTAAATTACTGCCCATTTATTTTATTGTTCTCTCACTCCCTCTATTGGTATTTCTATGTTTTTTAAAAGTCTTATGTCTTTTTATACTATTCTGAATAACCACCTTCCTTATTAGATCTAGCTGGAATTCATTTTTCTCAGATACACTGCAGAAAAATTAGAAATATTGAATGGGTATTTCCCACATATTCAAGAGTAGAAAGCAAAAGTCCATTCTCTCTTCTGAAGTTAAAAATTAGTCTTCTACTAATTTTCCTGTTCAGCATTTTATAACTTTTTATGTTACAATAATAATCCACATATTTGAATTTGGATCTTGTCTTATTTTTCAAAATTACGATACTCTTTCTGTGGGGTTTCAATAATCTTATTTTATACCTCGATTGCAAAATGTTTGGGAGAGAGACTATTTGAACTATCTTAGTGCATAGGGAGACCTCATTATGGGCCAGGACCTTGCAGTACTAGGTGATTTACACAGAACAGCACTTACAAACAAAGTATGTATGTGTAGTATCTAACACAATGGAGACCACCTTACATGGAGCCTCAATATACAATACAAATATGAAGAAACATACAAAAATCTAATAGTAATGGAATCCTTTACTTATAGAAACAAGTTTCTCCTTAATATTTGTATGTCGTTGGCCAGGATCAATATTTGAATAATAAGAACCACTCATGTTCAAACCACTTATCTATAAAACTATTTCACTATCTACTTTCTTGAAGTGCTATGGAGGTCTACAGTATATTCAAGAATCATCTGACATTTTTGTATTTTCCATCTGCATTTCACAGCACATCAGCCAAAAATTAATGAAATAATGAAACCGCTTATGAGTGATTAAGTAAGGGCACAAAAACACAGCTGATCTAACACAGATAGCCTTAATGAAAGATGCAGAATTGTACTCACTATACCTGACACCTCTTTGACAAAGTCGTCAGGATAGGAGGCTACCTGTCCTGAATAAAAATGGTCTCTTGAATAGAAATGATATGCACTAAAACCTGTACATTTCTCACTTCAGATTTAGTATAACCCCTTAATGATATTCCTAACCTTCTCCTGTTTTACTATGCACAGTCGTTAATCAAAATCTGTCAGTATTTTAAATCTCTCATCATATTATCTGAATCAGCCTTGTCTGTATTCCAAAAATATAAACAATTTATGACATTGATAGCATTTTTGTATGGAAGTCAGTTAGCTTTCCCTTTTGTGAAGGTGAGATTTCACATCAGAAATCACTACTTGGTATTACAGCTTTCACTCTACATCTAGAAAGCTATCCCCGCCTTACCTATCATCTCCCATTTTTCTCTTTTTTTTCCTTCCCAACACCATCAGACTCATCCAGTCTTTTAATTAAACCTCTGTTCCTAAAAGAATAATCCCTTCTATAGGGAGTTTTTTTTTATTTTCAAATACACACAACTGACTTTCCAAAGAATGGATCTTCCAGTGAATCAGCCCATTGGCTCAATATATCTGCTTGCAATAACTTCAGGAGAAGGTTTCTCCTACCATCATGTGCACACACACTCATGGTGGTAGTGGAAAATTTCTAGGCAACCATGGAGACACATCTAATTAGCATTCTGTGGCAGGCATTTTATGCTTGAAGTGAGATAGCAAATACTTTTTAGTGTGCAGAATGACAGACATCATTATTGGTAATAAAACTATGCACCCCCTTATTAAATCCAATAACAGCATTTATTTTTTAGCTTCCTGAGGCAAAAGAGGCTAACATGATCCCTAAATGTATAAAGAAAGGAAAATGAAGCAGGAAT